AATAAAGAGGTTAATATAAAAAATATTTTTTGTCTGATTCATCGATTAATCGAAAAAATAATCGTCCGATTCATCGATTTTTAAAATAATCGTTAGTTGCAGCCCTAAACTCAATACTTTGGAACAAAACTTGTGTTGGTAATGAAAGAGGTCAAACGATTCCTATAATTCTTCACCAGGTTGGCACACACTGTAGCTGGTATTTTGGCCCATTCCTCCATGAAGATATCCCCTAGAGCAGTGATGTTTTTGGGGCTGTCGCTGGTTTTGACTTAAAATCTCACGATACATGGCCCCGTTCATTCTTCCCTCAACACCGATCAGTTTTTCTATCCCCTTTGCAGAAAAAAACTGCCCCAAAGCATGATGTTTCCTCCGCTATGCTTCACAGGTATGGTATTGTTAGGATGCAACTCTGCATTCTTCTTCCTCCAAACACGACAAGTTGGGTTTTTAACAAAGAGTTCTATATTGGTTTCATCTGACCACGTGAAATTCTCCCAATCCTCTTCCCGATCATCTGTACACTCACTGGCAAACTTCAGGCGGGCGTGGACATGCACTGGCTTGAGCAGGGGGACACGTCTGGCACAGCAGGATTTGAATCCCTCTAGGTGTAGGGTGTTACTTATGACAGCCTTTGTTACTTGGTTCCCAGCTCTCTGCAGGTCATTCATCAGGTCCCTCCATTTTTGCTCACTACTCTCATGATCATTTTGACCCCACAGGATGAGATCGCGCCTGGCTCTTTCCCTGCAGGAGGCTGGGAAGGTTCATCCCAGCCTGGTGCAGATCTACAAATTTCTCCCTGGTGTCCTTCGACAACTATTTGGTGTTGGCCATGGTTGAGTTTTGAGTGTGACTGAGGCTGTGGACAGGTCTTTTATACAGATAACGGGTTAAAACAGGTGCCAATAATACAGGTAATGAGTAGAGGGCAGAAGAGCTTCTTAAAGAAGAAGTTACAGGTCTGTGAGAGCAAGAAGTCTTGCTGGTTTGTGGGTGACCAAATACTTATTTTCCACCAGAAATACAAATAAAGTCTACATTTTATTAAGCATTGTATGTTTTTGCTTCGTTTCATGTTTGGTTGCTAGGATCTTGTTAAAGGTCTAATAAACCAAAAAGACATAATGTAGCAGTATTATTAGTGAAAAGCTTTGAGCTGTTTAAAACAAAATATTTTAAATCTGAAACCAAAAGTTTGAATGAGTATATCAGTGCAATTTTATGCACTCATTTGTTTTTGAAGGTAATTTAAACATATCGTGATAAATTGTGTATCGCGATTATAGCCCAAATATATCGTGATATAAGATTTTCTTCACACCCCACAGCCCTATCTGCATTTGAATTGGTTCAGTATCAGCCGATACGTTCAGCCCAGGTATTGGTAATGGATTGGATCAGAAAAAGTGGATAAGTGCATTTCTACATAAAACTCTAAATGATAACATGATTACTCTATAAAAACTGTTGGTCACAGACAGCCTGCTTACCTCTATCCGAGCCCAAATCTGCATGATGACACAAGAAGGGTCGCCACTTTCACCAAAACCTGGGGAGACACAACATAGAGGATCATTTTAAAGTAAATACATGGGAAAATACATTCATACAATATTCCCAATTTTGCGTAAAAACTGTTCATCGATCGAGCAATAACAACGTAACAAGGTATTTCCATCCTTCCTAACAAAGGATTGATTGGACAACATATCCCTGTTTAAAAAATACATACATTTTTTGTCTTGTAAACAGCCCTGAGACAACATCAAAGCAAGTTCAGGGAAATTCACCTACGTTCTTCAACATCTTGTTTCAGGTATTCTAGAGACCGAGCGAAGGCAGCACGTAGCTCTTCCAACTCTTTACTGGATTCTAGAAAAAGAGAAATGCAAAACCCTGAGCAAGAAGTGAGCCCAAAACAAATTATTTTTTGAAGAGGTGATCCAACCTTTACTGAAGTCCACACGTCTTCTCAGGTAGTCGAGAAAGGCCTGCCATATTTCTACATAATCTGTGGCTTGGATGAAACCAGCATTTAGGGCTTTTTCAAAAACATCTGTGGAGAAGGAGCAGAGATTTAGCAACACTATAAAATCAACTGGATGTTTCTTACAAAGGAAACCCAAATAAAAAAAAACTCCATCAAAATTGTGCTCCGTCAATCATCATGTCAGCTGATACCTGATACAATCTGATGGTCTGCCCCATGTCTCTCCAGAGCCTGAAGGTAGCTCTTCCATAGACTCATGGTCCAGGGACAGTTCCTGACGGCTCGCTCGTGAGTGGACAGGACCAAATCTTTGATCTTCAACTGACGATCCTAAATAAAATGAAATTAATCATAAAAAAATAGAAAGAACATCTGAATGGTCTTGCCAAGCAGCTTTTACTGTAGAAAAAGCAAACACAATTGTGAGAGTTCGATGCGTTGCTTAAAACAGCAAATATCAACACCATAAGACACAAAAGAAAAATTAATTAAAACTTATAAAATTGAAATATGAGCTTGTTTTTATTTCTTGGAAATACACATAAAAGTCTAATTAAACCAAGGGCAAAACAAGTTAGCTTTAGTTTAACACCTACACTAAACAAGTAAAGCGTTTCCCAGCAAAACTGACAACTAGATTTAAGGAAGGTCATGGATGATGTCAGTCCCTGACAATACTTACGAGATATGTGGTGTATTTAGTCCACATGTCTGGTACCAGGCAGTTCTCAGCCAAAGCCCGTTCAAACAGGATCTGGACGCGTGCTGGGTCGCCCTCCTTCAGCTCAAAGTCAATGTAAGCTTGATATTCGGCCAATTTGGGAGGTTCTGCTACCAACTGCAGCAAGATAAGTGCAGGTGAGATATTTTGTACTGCAGAAAACCAAGCATGGCATTAAGGGCTGAAGGACAGCAGATGAAAAGGATTTTTATTATTCAGTTACCAAGGCCTCTTCATAAGATTTACACTTTTCGTTCTGCTGCAAAGCCTTTCTGTACAGATGGACGACCGTATCAGGGACTCCCTTTTCTGACCACTCCTCATACTCTGCATAGGTAGTCTCCATGTCTGCAAGGCCACAGAACACATCGTTATACTGAGGAGCAAGATCAGGAGAGATGCTCACAAAATCCTGCCTAAGCCTCAATTCATTTTAGATGAGAGAAAAAAAACAATTTCAGACAATGAAACAAACTTAAATATCAAACTTTATCTACAACAGACTAAAGAGTGTCAGTTTGTAATTATTGATCCCAACGTGAATCCCTTCCAGTTTACAGCAATTCATCCAGATGGAAGAGTTGCAATGCTTACCCATGAGGGGAATGGCCAGCTGGCGGCGAAAGAGCGTATGAATACGCTCGAGCTGAGTGCTGAGCCGCTCCTGCTCCTCACGGCTGGGAATCCTGCCAGGGGGAGGCTGGGAGCAGAGAAAATGATACGGGAACGTCAACACGTTAGAGGAATTTATATAAACTTTAACATAGCAGCAGGAATACTTCTCCATTATACTAACAATCATTTATATTTATATCATGCAGAGATCAGAAAACAAACCTGCACTGTGGACAAAACTGCGTTCTCAAACTCTCTGTATGCTTCCCACAGCATCTGTCCCTTGGTCATGTGAAGCCCGACCGCGGTCACCGCCCGCTCAAAGATGGATCTCACCTTGTCTATCCCACCTGGTGACCCCATGCCCCCAATTGAATACTGGGCATATTCCAGCCAAATTTCTGGACCTGAATTGAAAACAAAGCATCAGAACCAAGCTAGGATCTCCATTTTGTTTTTCAAACAAAAGGCTCACTGGAGGTGGCCCACTTACAGATGTAGTCTTTCACAGCTCTCTCAAACAGCTCATACACTTTCTCTCGGTTTGAATCCTCCTCTGACAAGCGAATCTCATCCTTGAGCCAGTCAAGCCAGATCTCTGAAAGTAAAAAAAAAAAGAAAGAAAATTAGCAGCAAATCATTAAAAAATGCTGCCTCCTTTGACCTCTGGACTGCAACGGTCATAAACAAACCTTCAGTTAGAGGGAACAGTTCACTCATCTTCTGTCTTGCCTTTCGCAAGCGGAGAAGTTCTCCCTCCTGCTTGAGGAGTTTGATGAGGTCCACATGGCAGTTGTAGTCAAAGGCATTGATCGAAAGCTGCAAACAATCATTAACAGAAACAGGTGCGATCATGTTTGACAGAAGCTTCAGACAAAAAAAGTAAACATCTTGTGTATGTCGGTAGACTTTTGTAGCCATTTTAGAAATGATAACATTATATATTAATATATATAACTATTAGATATATTAATAACCTTTTGTATATTAATATTTTGTTCGCTTCAAAGTTGGCAGCATTTTCCTCTGCACAAAAAATTTGTAGCAAAAGCAAACTAATCTTTAGATCCTCTAATGAGCATCACTCCAAGCTCCTGTAGCTGCTTAGGAACAGAGAAATCATTAAGGTAGTTTCTTTCAAAAAATGAATCTAACTAAATCTAAATGAGGGCTTACTTTCCAGGAAACAGCTGCATTCAAACTATTCTTACAGTTTAAAGCTCTTCAATAAAAGGCAGCTGAGCCAAACTCAGAATACTAAGTTTTTCTAGCAGATTCATGACATTCTGGGAACTTGATTAACAAACATGTTAGGGTTATTTCATTTACCTTAAATTTAAAAAAAATCTAGATGAACAACAGGACAGTGTTGTCTACCATGTCCTGCTGTGCGGAAAAGGGCTAGCTCACCGATTTTTGCAATGAGGAATAAAATTGATGTGCTGAATGTTTAGAGATGGGTCAAATCTGCAAAAAGGTAAGCTATTTTCCCCCCCAGAAAAACTAAAGAGTTATTTTAATGATTAAGCATCAGACCCTGATCAGGTCTCCACATGTTCTCTATGTGCACATCATCTGATTTGGGTTTTATAACAGAGGGCATCAGCAGTTCACTACATTTATCTAAATTTATTTTTTTGTACCTCTTTCTAAAACTCTGTAGTCCTGAATTAACCAGAGTCATTCATGTGTGTGTCCTAGTAGTATAATAGAAATAAAAACAATAACGTCTTGCTCTACTGTGTTATTTTGTGCTTATTTAATATTTCTGCTTAACATTACAGTGAAACATCAATAAATGTTTCAGATACCAATAATAACTGTAATTATCAATGATATAATCTATCAAATAAAGATAATTAGTAATTATATAATTAACCAATTATATAATGGTCTGCTTTAGATTTATGTATAAATAACATGATGTTTTAATTCAAGTTGATTAGCTGATCAGGGTCTAATTGCATTCATTTGCAAACAGCTTTGCTTTACCCAAATAACCACGATTACGATTTTGAGGAAATTTTACAAATGCCTATTTAGTTAATTATTTGGACATAATTATGCTTAAGACCTTAACTGGCCAACATAAATAATTACAAGCCATTTATGTTGAATAACATAAATAAATTTTTTTTTTTTTTTTACATTACTTTAATTATTGCTTTATGCTTGATATGGTGAGTCAGATTTAGTTAAGTCTGTAAGCTCGAGGCTACAGCAGTTTATACGGCAGTAAAAAAGAAATTCAATTAGCTCTCTATAGGGTTGTCAACTCTCACCCATTGGGAGTGAGACTCACCCATCTCAGTGTCTTCACACACTCTTACTCCATATTCCCAATTTCTCACACTAAAAAATGAAAGACATTAAAACTCAACTCCGTTTCACTTATTTATGTATAAAAATACCATGGTGATCAAAATTCAGTCCGCGTTTTTAATACAACCTTACTGCTAACACACAAGGACTTGCCAGGTTCATATCCAGTCTGTATTCCCACCTATTCACTGTGCCAGATATTGAACAAAGACAGTTCTTGCGAGGTATGTCAGTTTAATTTTTATCTTATCTCATCTGCACTAGGATAATTCTCTTTGTAAATTATTGAAGATTTTAAGCAACCTAGCACTTGAGTTTAGGTTTGCCTCCAAAACCCATGGAAGCTCCACAAAAAGAAAAAAAGAGCCATTGCATTTTATTTTTCAAAAGATCAGCCACCCAAGAAAAGACCAACCACATACAGAGAGGATGTGCAGGACAACTCGGTTATCCAAGATACATAAAGGGAGAACCACGGGGATGTTCTCATTTTATTATTACTTATCTAATTAATTTATCCTTATTTTGGCCCATTGAATATGTTAACTTACCGTAATGTCCTTCACATTTTCCAAATGAAACATCCAGAGAAGTGCTGTTTTGTGTCATGGTGAGTTTTTATAAAATCTACCACTTCCTTGAGGGTATGAATTGTTTAGCTGTTTTTTCAATTACGGTATAAGAAAAACTAAAACATAATGAATGAAACTTTTTAATCCTTAGCCTATTACCAAATATTCATACAGTTTAGTTTGCATGGATTTCGATTGCACTGGTTCCTGTATTAATGCCAGTAATCCAGTGATAACTTATTAGTTTCCAATGGGTTATGTTACTTAAACTGCATAGACCAACAGACTCAGGAACTCCTTTGTCCCTCATGCCATCAGGCTCTATAACTCCTCTCTGGGGGGGAGTAGGAAATAGGGTTAAGAGAACAGAAGTGAAGGAGTTGTAGATACTCGCTTTGGTTTTTATAATCTGGACACTCTTTTTTCTCAACCATTCAAGTGCAATACACTACATAACTGTTAATTTAAGTCATTGTTTTTGCTATAGCCCTCTGTATTTATTTGTCTATCCTCATCCCCCAATACATCTTCCTACACCTTATTTAATTTATTTTATTTTTCTATTGTATATACTGTGTCTAAACATCCTCTTTTTTTTTTTTCTTATATGTGCAATTTTTCCTGCTACTGGAAATACAATTTCCCGAAGGGAGTAATCCCAAGGGATTAATAAAGTCAAGTCTAAGTCTAAGTCTAAGTCTAGAATAATCAATAAACAAAGCTGTGAAATTCTTAGTTTAGGGTATTTTTAAGATGCAAGTATTTCAGTAGGGCCCATACTTCTCTACTTCTATTCTTTAAAAACTACCAGAATATAGAAAATAATGGATATTGTGAGAAAAATGTTTCACACAACTACATATCATTTATTGTTACTCAGTAACATTTACTGTGATATAAAAATCCCACATTCTGACACTTTGTTTCAGTTAAATCCTCTAAAAAACCTCCAGCCTATAGCTGCACCTGTCCTCAGAGCATTTTGATCGAATCCTAACAGGGTTTCTTGTCAAACTATTTCAAAATCTCACCCCAAGGTTTGGTGACAAGTTGGCAGCCCTGGAGTCTCTATGATTAGATAATGATAGTATAACTGCAGCCACATTATTAGCAACAATGTTAGTTGAGGGTACAAGTGTTTATTAGTTACATACCGGACGGTAATGTGTTATAATAACAATTTTTTACTACATTTATAAAGGAATATATATTTAGATTCCATCATGAGGAGTAAAAGGCGGGATGATTTAGGTAAGGATGTTAGCATCACGCGTTAGCAGGATCTAGTACGACTAATTCAATTAGACTATTTAAATATTTTTAAGACCACTAAAAGTAGCTGCTTTCTTGTTTTCTGATCCGCATCAGTTCTGCATTTGCTATATATATATTTATTTCCCAGGTACTGACCGTGTTCATCACTCATTCATTCTCATTAGCTGCTCGGCTAACAGTGGTTAGCCAAACAGCTGAAGCCAAGTTACCTGCTCCTCCAACCGCTGGATTTCGGCTTCATTTTCCTTGTCATCCTCTGACGAGTCGTCCTCTTCGTCTTCAGAGTTTTCTAACCCCATGCCCTCCTCTTCGTCCGACTCCATATCCCTTTCCTCCATCTCCGCTTCTTCCTCCTCCATATCTTGCAACTGCGTTTGCTCTGCGTTGCTTGGCGCTGCCATGTTGGAAATGCTGTCTGCCTGGTAACAAGGCGACACGATGACGAGGTCCAGGATATGGCAGGCCGTTGTAGCATAGAATTAAACCACACATCTCATTGTTTTAAAATTTGGTTTAGATTAATATTACACCTTTTTTCACGTAAAATGCATTTGGTCAGATATTTTTTGTTTTCAGTATTATTTAAAAAAAAAAAAAACACCTTTAAAAGTGAAACAGCAGTCTTAATAGTTTGACTGTTCTGTATAAGTATCGTTTAAATTCACAATTTAGTTCTGCAAATCAATAAATGTATTGCTTTGAGTGATTACTATTTTTAGTGAGTTTTATTTTGCCAAAATGAGAATGTAAGCAGTCATAATACTGCTTATAACAAGAGGTGGATAATAACTGGTTACATTTACTGAGTAGCTTTCCAAAAAAAATTTACTTTTAGGTGTAGTTTAACTTTACTGTACTTTTGGCTTTTACCCAAGTACAATTCTTGTGAAAGTATTGCTACTCTTACTTGAGTGAAATTTTTGTCTACCCTATGCAAGAGTCAGCAATTACTCAATAGCTTATTAAAGCCATTCTACATGCAAACTTAAAGGCCTCAGTATGTCCAAGTCAGACAGAACACCTCTGATGTCATCACTCAAAGCACAGGCTCCCCTCGGGGATGCATACTGAGCCCCCTACTGTTCACCCTGATGACAGCCGACTGTTTGCCCAGGTTCACCTCCATTCACATGTTGAAGTGCCTAGACGACACTACGGTGGTGGGCCTCATCAGATATGACAACGACCAGGACTACCAGATCATCGTTGACTTCAGGAAGAACTGGCCTGACCATGCTCCACTGCTCATCAACTATTCAGCTGTAGAAGTGGACAGCAGCACCAAATTTCTGAGGGTGCACATAACAGACAACCTCACCTAGACTCTAAACACCACCTCACTGATCAAAAGAGCACAAAAGTGCCTGTACTTCCTATGGAGGATGAGGAGAGCCCACCTGCCCCCACCCATCCTCATGACCTTCTACAGAAGAACAATAGAGAGCGTTCTGACCAGCTGTCTCACTGTGTGGTGTGGAGGCTGCAGCGCCTCAGACTAGAAGCAGAACAGCAGAGAGGATCATCGGGGCTCCCCTTCCCTCCATAAAGACATTTCATCCCAGCGCTGCGTGTCCCGAGCCCGTAACATCATCAATGACCCCTCTCCCTGCTGCCTTCTGGGAAGAGGCTTCGCAGCATTTGATGCAGTACCAGAAGATTCTGCAACAGCTTCTTCCCCACCGCCATCAGAGAGCTGAACTGTTCAGAAAACTCTAAATCATGTCACAGACTCTGCATTAAACAACAAACCAAAACATAACAGAATTGCACCATATATATTTAATACACTCTGTGTGTTTGTATACACTCTGTGTATACAAATTGACAATCAAAGTTGTCCAAGTATAAGAGTCTATGTCTAAAATTATTAACCCTGAGTAATTTATTGGATAACTACTTTCTAGTTTCAGTTGAAATATATTAAATAGGTTCTAATCTTACTCTAATAAAAGTTTTGGATACTCTCCTCACCTCTGCTTATATATATATATATATATATATATA